TTACCACAGTGGCTTAAAATGTTTTCGTGATGTATGGTAATTTCAGAAATGGAGGTTCTCAGCTAAGTTGAGTGATTTTGGTATGGTGAGTTTTTGGAGTTTCTCAGTTAGATTGTGGAGTCTCCGTTGTCATTATGGACGAAATCAATCGAGCTTACTTTACGTGACGATGAGCTTGTTAATAGACGCACGAGGAAGTCAGAATAAACTTATAGAACACTCACTCCCAACTGAATTAGGCGCCAATGATGCTGTTCGGAACGAGGATGGTACCATCGCAATAAAACCTTTCAATTTGGAGAACTTAATAAAATTGAAATATTTTATTTATATAGTGTGGTTTTTCCTGACTTATTCCTCGACATTTGTTTGAATTTTTTAACGATGGGTATATAAATCCCAAAATCAAATTTCTCATTTTACAGAATTATTACCATGAACCTTCAAACAAAATTATCGTTTGTTTATAATATACATGCTGTCATTTAACAAATGATTAACCTTGTTATTAGTCTTTTACCCCTATAATTATTCATTTACATAATTTCGAATCATGAAAAACTTTTAATCTCAATCTTAATATATTTTGTTTGACTGTTAAAAATGATAATTATCCGATGACAGTATGAATTCACATTATTCTGGATCCATCATTAATATTGCTTCATTCAAAGATATTAGAGGGAAAGTAACTGTGCTACGTTTTGTTCGGAAAATGATGGTTATTAAAACGGTTTAAGACAAATTAGAATCAATTGAAGATAAACGTAAACAAGTCTGTTAGAAAGATACACAAGTATGCATACTCCATCTTTCTAATAGTTTCTTTTTAAACAGGAGGTAATTCAATCTAGTGTATACAGAAAATGGTGTATATGATATCAATAACTGTATTTGAATTATCTAAGAAAATGATATTATTGGTCACTCGGTCAGGGGAAAAATATTAAGCATACTAACATACTAATATGATGCTGTGCAGTGTGATTGATAAATATACAACTACGCCGTTGGTCTAATGATTTACTCGTAGAATAAACTATGATAACTCAATCACTAAGTATTATGTGGGATTACAAGCATACATTGAGTTGAAAAAAGTACCTGTAGATATGCGATATCTGAACCAAACACAATAAGAGGTGACCATCTTAAGCTCGACATACATGATATGTGTACGCCTCGTGCCCAAAAACTAGTAATACCAGGTTATATCACAGACATCTTTTATCTACTAAATAAACCATACAAACAATGGTTTACTATTTATTTATTGGAAAGAATTATAAAATATCGTGAGAAATTTATAAAATCAAGGCAAGTTGAAATAACTCCGCGTGTAGTTCTCGTAAAGTTACTGCCGGTCCCAAGCCCGGGTAAAAAAGGAGAATTGGGCATGAGGTTAGCGACCCCATCCCGTGGAAAACTAACTCGCTAAAAAAACGTTAACCAGAAAAAAATAATTCAAACCATTTAAACTCTGCCCTGGGAGTTAGAAGGCATTCATTTAGAAGAACTATGACGCCTCATGGTGAAAGCATTACGTCGGGAAATAGAATCAGATATGAAAAGAATGAATAACAACTGGAAAGAGCTGGAAAGGATTGTCCAGGACAGGGTTAGATGGAAAATGCCGGTTAGCGGCCTATGCTCCTTCACGAGGAGTAACAGGTGTATGTAAGTACGTAAATTGGAATGGAACACATTAAGAATCTGACATACTCTAAAGGACTGTCCGTATAATATAAATGAGACATGGATAAATAATGAGTAGGAAGGACTGCAGTATACTCAAGATCAGTCAACCTGACTTAACAAACTGAAAACGGTTGTTTAAGAAATTACTGACACATGAAGATCAAACAGATTTTCATGAAAAATATATGCAAAACAGAATAAATAAGAGAGGCACTCATAAATCTCTGGTAAGTTATACTGCCCATTAGAATTGGTCTGTGAAATACTGACTCGAGCAACTAGTGTTTCACTTTTAGATATTTTCAGTGATCTATAGTATTTTGGAGTCCTTTCCATTAAATATTCACATTAAGACACTAAAAATACATGTTGAACGAATAAATATTCATTTCTAATTAGTTGCTCTGCACAATCATATAAAATTTGTAAATAAATGTAAAACAAATACAAGTGGTAGTATGTCATTCTCATAATATAGTAATCATTTATTAAGACTATGTCTGTAAAATTAAAACTAAAATGAAACTTTATAAAAAGCTGGTTACCATAACTAGTTGCTTAAGATCAAGAATAGGAGTCAGATTATTAATAAATAAATAGTAAAACAAGTGAGATGAAAATTAGATGATCAGATTATTAGACACATTGTATAAGATTAAGATATAACAAAATCGTAAAATTTGGAAGATTTGTGGGGAGGTAATAAATAGGACAAGGGAGATTAAAAGACTATACAAAGTTTTTCTGTATACAGAAATTAGGTATATTGATATACATTCCTACGGTTTTTGTTGTACGTAAGAGTCAAATTCTGAAGGCATAGAGAGTAAGTTCAATGAGATTCTAAAGATAACTTTAAACGCTGAATTTATATCGACATAGTTACTAGTATTAAGAGGGTGAGCCAAAATAGACCTAATTGTTTTTTATCCTTTGTTAGGAAATTTGACGGGGACCCACGTCTACTGGGTGAATCATGAATAAGTATTAATTTTTCTTTTGGAAAGTCACCACAACAAATAATTTTGGACCTATGGGCTGTGTTTGGCCAAGTTTCCCTTATATTGCAATGAGATAAAGCTCAAAAATGTGCACATTGGTTTTATGTAGGATGTTTACGATAAACAATACTTTTTATTGTGAATAATGTGAAAGATTTGATGTTATTAAATACAAAGACATTGGCATAACATCTATCCTGATTCTAAAGTAAAATATTACCTAAAGACGTTTGAACTACATTTATGCAGTTGAAATATAGATAAGAAGTGTAAAATGTCAATTGATATTGGTGTATACAGTCACTTGGTATCGTACTAGACGCGATCAAAGCCGATTTATATGGATTTACCTTTCTAGAATTGTTTAGTAAATACTTTGATCATTTAGGTAATTGACTTTTATTGTTTTAGCATGAGAGAATTTCCCATACTTGGAGTACAAACAAGCATTTACACAAGTGCAAGTTGGAATCCTGAGTGTCAAATATTTCTAAACACCCTGACAACTATTTACCGGGCATAGTGAGTTATTTCATACGAAACAAGCTTGTTACAAAGAGCATTTGGACATATATACTATCTTATGAACTTCTATTAAATCCATTAACTAAGTAAATATTATTGTACTGACTCTTGAGTCATAACTACTGGGAAGCCAGAGTTAATATTTTGTTGTATAGACTGAAGTGAAAATGGGTCTTAACGAGTGATAAAAAAGCTTAAAAATGAGCTTAAAACACTGATCCATTATTAAGCTAGAATAATTTTAGATTTCGTTTGCCGCCAGATTAACATGACATTAAATACTAGCGCTAAAAAATTCAGTTTAAGAACCTCATATCTCGTTTTAAGAGATGATAATTAAATATAAGTCAGTGGAACAAAATTTTTTAAACTTGTCATTTGGAAGCATTCTCTCAACTGGGTTCCGAAAATGTAAAGGTGACATTATATTTTAATTACGCTATTGATTATCATAAATATTGTGTTTTGTGTCTCAAGTAAATGAATACCCTTTTACTAACATTTGTTACCATCATAATGAAATAGTGGATAAAATATAGTACTCAAATGAAATAAGTAGTTTATTACAGCATAGCATAAAAAGAATTAGAACCAACGGTGAGTAATACACAGGACAAAAAATAAACAAGTAGAAAACTAACGATATGGCAAAAAAGGTGGAATTATGTGAAATTCTACGTGACACGATATAAATTTTAAGATAGAGGAAACCTGTAACTCATAATCACCTCTTTTAAGTGTGTACTTTTTCGCTATAATATTGAAACTATTTTCATGATATTTAGAAATCGGTTATTTAGTATGCAGTAAACTACAGTGAGAACTGAATCAAATCTCATGTTAACTATCAAGAAGATAATTACATTGGATATGTATATATAGTACGCTATAATGCACTACTAAACGCGTGGTATACAGAATGAGGGATGTTTCTATTAGGAAACATTCTGTATAACTTTTTATTTGCACAGATTGACTTACTGTTAGAGATATATTGCCTTCAAAATTGATTATTTTACTCAGAACACTTGATGAATTGCACCACTGCATACCATTCCCTCTCTCCCTTCATTTCGTCGAAATATTTTTATCTTTACGAATTCGACAACCTGAATATCTGCAATATATTTGTCTAATGTGATCGGATCAAGTCTTGTTTGTAAACTTGATGATGACTTACAGTCGACAAAACACCATAAGATCATATCGTTCATTCGAGTAATTAGTGTATTAATACCAAATAGTACATTTATGACATTTCGTCTTTATGTAAAATTTAAATGATTTCGTGAATATCAACGAAGTAACTCTAGGACAGAAACAAGGACAACAGGTTTTTCAATGTTAGACGGTTCAATTTCTCCTTCATGAAAATATTCATTAGAAAAAAGATGTACACTATAAATTCTGTGCTTCACTTTTAAACCTATTTATAAATTGTTATGTGTATACAATTGGAGTGGAAGTATGGTATTCAACAATAGAAAGTTTACATCAGTATTTGCTAATACTATCTTCGTGTGAAATCCTAAAAAACGACCTGTAGAGCACACGGAAAATAAAAAGCGTTTGAAGAAGTCATTACGATCAATTCACAGATACACTGAATTCTTAAAAAACAGTTTAGCTACATTCTCAAAAAAATTACGATGTAATCGTGGGAGATTACAATTTATGAGAATGTATATTATGTTAAATAATTATGTAACAAACCAGTGATCAAAGAAAATCAACATTTTGCACTTTGTGATATCTATATTACAAAGATAGACCTACCAGCTTTGGCATGATTATTCGTGCAATTAAGCAACGCACTTTTCCACTAACATCATCCTTAACCTTTAATATTTCATACTTGGGAGTATCACCTTTAAAAGGTGGATCAGGTAACTCTATCACTTTTGGTTTGGGTGGTCTAAAATATTTACAAATAAGATTATACATATATACTAAATCTTACTGAGAATCATTCATTTCAATAATCGCAGGACGACTAGAAGTTCGAATACATTGTTCTTGTGGTTTACCCATACATTTCTTATTCTTTAAAACAATCCAGCCTGTAAGATTAAATTAGAAAATAATGAATACAAACTGGATGCTTACTTCTTTCAAGTTCGATGCCATACTTATTTTCCAAGCCTTCGAATATCACTGTCATCAAAAATGCCTCAAACAATTCTGATGATTTGACTTTTTGGTAGAATTGTGGGTTGATTATGACATCATAAGCGGTACAGCCTTTCTGAGCTTAAAATTAAAGAAATAAAGTATGAAGTTACGGAGGTTTTAAAAAACGATATCTACTTATGGAAGTAGTTTGTATATGCATTTGTATACTTTCAGCTACTTCATAGATTTTCGACTAAACCAATCGATTAAAAACACAAGTAGATGACTACTTCCAGAACTTTTGTGAAGTATGATTTTGATAATTCATTTATTGATTAGGGACAGAAAATGATACGATGTGACCAAGTGGATATATTTATGGTTTCAAACCTAACTACTTATTTTTATTCTTTATAAATTTATCTAATTGGTCTTACTGACTTATTGGAAACATAAAATTGGTACAAGAGAGCGCCAATATATATGCACCATATCAATGACAATACAAAAGAATGTGGTTAGGAAATATCAAACGCATGACCTATCGATATGTAACACTATTCGAAAGTCACCAGTTATTTTGAGTGCTTGTCCAAGGCTATCCCGGAATATGTAGAACACAAAGCGATTTTACTTTTTCTATCATTAAGAAACAAAAGTTGAATGTGGATAACAAGAATATGGGTACCAAAACATTGACAGGTAAACAATGAGTAAGAAATTTTGTGATTAGATAGTAAATGATTGTGTAGTAGATTAGATTGATATTATGAGTGAAACAAACAGTTGATTCACGATAGCCAACACATTCCGTAAGTGATCTAACCAGTCGTCAAAATTTAGATCGTTAGCCCAACCACGGTTTAATGTATCTAACGCCTAAACCTTGGGTAAGGTGTTTGGACAAAAAAACAATATTTTGTTATACTAGTGGATCAATATAATCCAGGAGGATTGAAACGTTGTCAACATAATGTAAGCATTAATTCTAGTTTTAGTGTTTGGAAAAAAACCCGCTCGTACGATGTTTTTCCGGCCTAGAATGAGTAAACATACTATTTGGCTCGGAAGCAGGCAAGTCAAAAATCCCCAATATGTCCTAGGAATTCGATATTGGTTTAGACCATGTATTTAGACCTTATTAGTATCACGACTGTTTCGGAGGTTTAAGTGTTATACATTTTTTCCAGAATCGTTACATCAAATGCATTTATTCACGAAATATGCAGTTAACACGGAACCTTCATCTTGTCGTAACCTTGGTTTGCTGGTTGTGTTTCGTGCACTTAAACATCCTTATAGGACACAGAAGTAAAAACTGAATCAAAATCTGTGATAAACAAAATGTATATTAGTCAGTCATAAACAATTCAGGACCTAGAACGAATATATAAGGGCTTAAGTTTTCCTACTTTGAAGAAGTACCGCATAGGGGAACAAGTAGTTCAAAATTTGTTTTTATTTATACAATTCGTGTAAATTAAGGGATTGGATGATACCCAAGTGACTATATATCGACAGTGCTCTGTGCTGTCTTAGAAAGCTTCGCCCTTAACTAGAATTACAAGCTCGAAAATAGTTAATAGTCAATGACTAACATGTATTATTCAGGACTGAAATGAGGCCAACAGTTACGATATTAAGCATCAACTGGTAAACTTTACTTAGTGAGTAGATCAAAGCATTCGTAACAAAAACAACCGGAACAGTATGTGTCTGCCACAGGATTTGAATTTAAGGAACCGTTTATACGGTGGTCCAGGTTACCCAAATAACTGTGGACCGATAAATACTCTATAATAGTGCACTATTCATCAGTATTCTTAAGCATGAATACACTGAATCGATTTAAATATCACTGTTAACCAATGAATATTGCGGATCAACTAGATATTTTGTTCTCACTGAGAAACCGAATACGTGGCATCCTAACTTCGGTGGTGCTCAGGCGATACCTGAGTTTGCAACATCAAAATCGTCGTAGTAGAAGCTTAAAATTCCAAAAATTCTATTATGCCATTAACGTTTAGTAACACTGAGCGCATACATATGAAGCGATCTGTTCGATAATAATGAACGCAGAATTTCTTGGGATCGAATATAAGATCTCGTCTGGATGAATAATCATATAGATAGAAAGCAAAAGGGATTTGAAAGAACCGAGGTATGAAAACAGTACCTGAGTCAGTCTCAGCGTGCGGTTCTCCTATGCACATAGGGACTTTGAAGGGTGGGGAGTTGTCAATATCATTAAGGATTGATCTTAATTCATCTTCACTTAGATCCTTCGGAACTGGGACCTACAAAAATCTTTAAAAGGGATACCCATTTACTTTATTAGAGGTACATATGTTCACAAACACTTTTTCCTGATTTTTAGATTTTAACTTTACACAAAACCCTGTGATCATTACTACCGAGTAAAGGTTATCAAACCTGGATCGGGTACGATTATAATTGAGCCTTGCTGGGTATTTCGTACAGGGACCTTTATTATCAGATGAGAGATAAGTATAATTCATACCTCATCTTTGACTATGTCGAAAATCCCCATTCCTTAAAATTTTTGAATGTTGCGGGTATTACTTTGACAAGGTAATCTGAAAATTTGATCTTTCACTATTTCAAGGGTATCTTCATTTTTATTGTAGAAATATTACTTTAGAAAGAACGAAAGTATTCGGTGAGACTATAATTAATGGAAAACCTTTGACCAATGCCAAAAAGACTTAGAGAATATCAACCTTTCTAAAGTACATATGAGGATTATAAAACAGTGGAAGGAATAACGACTAATATTTGTAGTTGATAGCTAGGGTCAGGGATTAGATTAAGGGTTTTCATCACGAGCTGACATCAGCTGCAATACCAAAACTCTATTTAGCTAAACGAACAAATTGATTTCGCGCCAAAATTCCGGACACGTTATCTTAAATCTGATTGGTTAGCACATAAATTATATTCTAGCCGAAAGTTCTCATACACTCTTTTCGTCATTCTGCTGTATTCCTCGTCTTGCTAATATTCTTCCTTGTGTTTTTCACCTCCAATATATGGAAGTGATTATCTGAGTTCAACAGAACAAGGCATAAAACGAACAGTGGTATTTGGTATGAAGTGAGATGAAGGCGAATGATGGTACTACGAAACTTGAACGAATTTAACACCCGAAGCTTTGTGGTGTTTGAATTAACTAATTATTGTTTTGTAGCTGTTGAATGCTCGATTTCGAATTCTAAATACAATAAATTCGTTTGTGCTCATCTAGTACTTTCTGATTTTGTAAAGTGATTTATTAGGATTACAATTCGGATGATTTCATATTAGCTGCTGTTTATCCTTATCGCCGAGTCACTCCTAATGTATACTTTAACCAATGTGAGAAATATGTTTTAAATGAAGCCACATTGTTCATTACTTGGAGATATAAAGATCCAACATTATTTAGTGGTGGAGGATAGTGTCGAAAAATCTATTGTTCGAATTATAGATATCAATGATTTCATTACATAATCGACATGGTGATTGTATACAATTTCAGGACCCAGGTGAGTCCGTTCCGATTTCAGTTGTTTATTCTAATACTAATGAGTGTATTCTAGATAATACAGAGTTTTTATCCAATACACTGTCGGACAGACTCAGGATGAACTTAAGAAGAAGACGTACAACCTATTACAGACAATTATATTCCAATTTAAGCTGTGGTGGATGTGGTGTTTGCATTTACCAATGATTCTTTTGTACTTGTTGAAAGCTTGATTTCGAATTCTGAATACAATACATTGGTTCGTGCTCATCTAGTACTTCTTGATTCCATTGCGTTAATTCTGGGATTTTTAGTTCGTACTATAATTCAAATAATTCGAAATACCATAGGCTTTCAAGCGAATTATTTGAGATACACATGTGCTGTCTTATCGCCAATGATGTCTTAAACAGCTTGCTCAAAGGCATATATACCAAGCGTAATTGAGATAGGCTAAATAATACTCGCATATTAGGTTATAAAAAACCGATATGAAAACATCTCGATTAAACTCAAAGTTGATCGACTAACATGAACTAAAAGAAGTAGGATTGACTTCAAAAATGGTCTGTTAAGAGTTTAAACATAGGAAAGGAAGTTTCTTCGTACAACCTTCAAACTGCAGCGTCCGGCAAACGGCTAGAAAAAAAGGTCTGTTTCTATCAGGTAAAACAAAAATCTAGTCACACAAGTCCTCGATAAGCATGCAAGATCTCAGAGTGTGTGGAAGGCCATCGTGTTTGCTAGTCCGTCGAAGGCTGGTGGCAGAGTTCAAATTGAAAATGGAAAACAACATGGTGTCATTAAAGGCATGCCAGTCTCTCAAACCATAGGTGAGAAACCGAAGTTTGATTTTTGTGACAGGCCTGTCATCTTTTAGGGGGTCAAGATGTGTGAAAGTTCCGAACTCACTTTGTTTCGCTTTGATAAAAGATCTACTTAATCAGCTAATGCTATACGATATCGCTGGAATCACCTGTCCGAATGTTTATAGACTTGGCAACTGAAAACACTAGAAAGAAGTTAAACCAGGCTGTTAAAGTGATATTTAGACCTTCCAATGAAAGGGACTTAGGAATGAAATCCAACATCAATCAAAGGGACACGAATTTCGTTCGTAAAATATCGCCGCTCGCGGACCATTTAAAAAGGCGAGAAGCTGAAAAGTAACTAAAACTACGGGTAGATGCTGGCAAGAATAACCCAAAAACTGTAAATTTTCGAGTGACGGAGCTTTAATAGAGAATGATTCCGGAGCCATTTAAATGATCCTAGGATATGTTCCACAAATTCCTGGACTTGTTGAACAAGTGGTTGTAATTAGGTGCACAGGCAGACTCTACAAAGCCAGATATAATCACAGCCACAGAACCTTGGCTGATGCAGTCCGCAGAAAGTAGAAAACTTGATTTTCAAAGTTTCAAATAGGTAACAGCCTACAGAGCACAGAACTGCAAGTGAAGAGGAGTAGTTCTACTCATTGAAAACACTATCACTTTTACGGTTATTATTGACATATCTAATGATGTGTGAATTAGTTATTTTCCGCCCGAAATACAATAGACTACAACTTCTGACTGGTTTTATTTATCGCAGTTCAAACTTTAATATAAATGACATTTTGATGGACGGTTTCAAAACTTAGTCATCAGGTGGTCGACATTTTTAATTTGAAAAGGCTTTAATGCACTTAAGGTAGACCAGAAACATCTGTAGATTGAGTAAGCGTATTTTTTTCGAATGAAACTGGTTGATACGGTTATCCCAAATGGCATATCACAACATGTGAAATAAGAAACTATGTGCGACTTGAATACTGAACCGTTCTTACAAGATCTCAGGTTAACACATCCTGAGGATGACATCACAAACGTTGATTATATGACACACCCAGGTAATTGTGACCATGCAACTCTAGTGTTTGATCTGATCGTTATCAACAACGATGCGTTAGCTTGAGCCTGATCTAACGTCAATATACAAACAACTATACACTCAGCATTATCAGTAAACCAAACAATATAACCAGAACCCCCAATATAACGGCTTTTGTGACATTCAAAAGTTTGTACATAAAGGTTATTGCACAGCACATACGTTGGACCACATCAAGGAGTTTGAAAAACTCCTTACTGTGTTTCGGTAGAATAGCACTTCACTTCATATAACCCCTTTATACACTTGTTATGACCTTGAATCGCTTTTACCCCGTGATACTTGTTATGACTTCACCTTGATCTGTCTAGATTTAACTATGACCTTGACGGGATAGGGTGAGCGGCTTAACCTTGAGTCTATCACGCGTGAGTTCGGGATGGAGTAGAGAGATAACTATTCTAGAACCTGATTGGTTGGCAAGCACGCAAGTGAGAGAAGACAAGACAGTTGGAATACTGAACTCTGAAGTATCTGAATTCGGATTAGTACAAAAATGTACATGAATAAATAAGTGAATATCTTAACTACGACTTACAATAATTTGGAAAAAATACAGTTATGCCCGAAACAGGGAATTAGGGTAGAAAATACAGTGCAAAATATTATGTTTAAATTACAATATTTTCGGAACCAAAAAGAGTATGGTAGTGAATGATACATAGAACGAAAGCTCGTGTTATGTAGAATAAGATAGGGACAAAGATAAATATAAGTGTTTTACAGGGTTTGAATGAAATGCAATAACTTCCCAAGAAAATAGCTTTCGTAATTGTCTGGGCTTCTTAATTCCCCGTTCATAACAACACCGTTAACGGAATCAGTATCTTTAGTCTGAACACGAGTGAGCGATACTATTTTTGAAACAGATCATAAAAACTATACTCATAGTATAATGCTGATATAAAAACAATAATAACTCACGTGAAAATCTGCACGAATGTACAGCCATTTCTATCAACTATATCTATTTGACAACCTCGCTTGGAGAGTATGTTATCTTTTCATTAATTTAACTTATTGATCATGCTTGTAAAAACGGCGTGCATTAACTCTGCCAACTCCGCCTGGAGCCCCTCTTGGAGCTACCGTCTGTCCCAAGCTCGCAAAAAGAAGGAGGTTTGGGCATGTGGCTAGCGATCCAATCCCGTAGAAAACTAACCCGCTAAAAAAATGCTAACTAGAAAAAATCATTCAAACCATTTAAACTCTGCCCTGTGAATTAGAAGGTCTTCACTTAGAAGAGTTATGGCGCCCCACGATGAAAGCCGAGTCCCTTCGGAAGCCACGAGGTTGATGCCCCTTCTGACAACTAGAGCAACCACTTGTTTAGGTACATGGAATGCTTGTACAATGTGGGAGACAAGGAGAGTCTTCCAAATTGTTTCAGAAATGATGAGATACAACCTGGAGGTGCTTGAGATCAGTGAAACAAATTGGACGCAAGTTGGACAACAACGACTAACTTCAAGGGAGCTTCTGTTATACGCCGGTCACGAAAAAAATGCCCCCCATATACACAATGAGTTGTATTGATGCTGTCCAAACAAGCATAAAATACACTTATAGAATGGGAATCTCATGAACCAAGGATCATCTAAGCATCCTTCAAAACAAAGAAAGAGGGCATTTCAATCAACATCATCCAATGCTATGCACCTACCAACGATTACAATGAAGACGTTTAAGATCAATTCTACAATAAGCTGCAGTCAATCGTCAAGAAGTGCCTAACAAAAGAGGTGATCACTTCAACATGTCATGATTTTCTGGGCCACAAGAAGCACCACCACAAGGAATGGAACACTAGAAAGGAAAACCCAGGACAGAGATGGTTGAAGAATGATGGTTGGCGGCCTATGCTCTATAGGAGGTAACAGGGATAAGTAAGTAAGTAACTTACTCTGTCAGAAGCATTATTATTATTAAGTAAGCTTGATGTAGACAAATCCAGGGGACCCGATAAAATGCATCCTAGATTACTATAGGGATTGGAATATTTTACCATAAATCCCTTAAGCATATGTGCTAATATACTAAAAGAATACTATAACACCGTAGTAAGGCTGTCTTCAAAACAGGTAAAAGACACGTTTCTGAAAACTATCGAC